TGACTACCACGTTACGCATGAGTAAACCTTCTTTGTGAACCACACGTGTCACGAGAGTTTCTCTGTCGAACGGGGCAAACCTTACACCAGGGACCATTTATAATAAGGCCTCCCTCATTAGTGATTTGATTATTGATGAGAGGGCCGACCTGGCATGTGTCACTTCCCTTCTTATATTCTGGAAGTCTTCCTATTCTATCCGCCTTGTAGCTCCATTGGATAGTTTGTGGGGTCCATTTTTATATTGGATGGCAAAATACATTGTATGTCCTTTATATATTTTTGTTTGCTTCTTACATTGTTCACTTTTTTCTCACTCTCTCAGTCCTGGGGTAAAAATCCTATGTTGGGGAGTCTGCTTTTCTTCAAATGACTCCCCCAATCCATCTGCCTGTCCCTCTTTCAGGGCTTCACATCTTGCAGGTGATGATTGGCTGTGAGCTCCGGGCAGATGGGAGCAAAGAAGGGTTTTGGCAGGATGCTTACGACGGGAGGACCTTCCTCACCTTCGACAAGGAGACCCTCACCTGGCTGGCAGCTGAGCCCCAGGCCCAGGCCCTCAAGAGGAGGTGGGATGCCGAGGCTGCCTATAACCGGTACCGGAGGTCCCACTTGGAGGAGACCTGCATCAAGTGGCTGCAAATGCACCTGTCCCACGGAAACAAGACACTGCTGAGGACAGGTCAGCCAGGGACAGGGGAGACTTTCCTCCATTATCTCCACATATATTTTTGAGTAGCACCCTTTCCCCCCAAACCCAGGGTGCAGGTCCATTGTTCCCTGGTTGTTCTGCCATTGGGCTGACCTGGGGAACCTCCATGAGACTCTTCCCCACCACCACCAGTTCCAGTCTGGGGCAGCATGGCTGCCTGCACCCAGGCAGGAAAGGCTGAGATAGGGGGAATTTGCTGTTCTGTCCCCCCCCTCAAAAAAAATCAAGGGATCAAAGAAAAGAAGAGCCAGTGAGAGTGTCACATTTAAGCCAGGTTGAACTCCCTGGTCTCAAGATCAAGAATTCTCATGGTGCAGCGTTTCAGACTTTCCCAACATTTCCTAAAGTCTTAGAGATTTTGCCCAGGTGGAGTTTTAAGTCTCTGAGATAGAGCTGAGTAGCCAAGAGGGATATTTTCTTGCCCCTGAAGTATCTCATCCACCTTCCAGTATTTGGGGTGCCTCGATATTAATCCTGATGCTGTTGTTTCTCCAGAGACCCCAGTGGTGACAATGAGCAGCAGGCCAGAGGCCAATGGCATGGAAGTTCACATCTGCCGAGTCCACGGCTTCTACCCCAAGGAGATCGATGTCTCCTGGAGGAGGGATGGAGAGGTTTGGTTGCAGGACACCTCCCAAGGGGTTGTTGCCCCCAATTCGGATGGAACTTACCACCTCTGGCTCAGTGTCCAGATTGACCCCAAGGAGAGGGACCACTACCGGTGCTATGTGGAGCATGACAGCTTGCAGGAGCCTCTGAATGTGGCTGTGAAGGGTGAGAGACAGCAGGGGATGGGGAGGCCCATCATCTTTCTCAGGCTGGGGAATTGTTGGAGATAAATTTCATCCAAGCTGTGCCCAAATGCAAGCCTACTTTGGCCATTAGCTTTTTCCTTTTTTGTGGTCTGTGGACCTGCAATGAACAACATGCCTGCAGTTGTTTATAAAAAGTTGGAAGATTCCATTGCAGCAACATGTTGATTGTGATAGGATGCAGTTAGATTTTTATATGTTATGTTAGCTGTCCTCCCCTGTTCCCTGCCCCTAACACAGTAATAGTGATAGCGAGTACACACAAAGATTTTTCTTTGTTTTGTTTTATAGTGGAATTCCTGAAAATACCAGCGTAATACTAATTTGAAGTACACATTACTATATAGTTAATGATATAGTGGTATTTTATACTTCTAGAATTCCTAAAGCCAGTGTAAACCCACACAAAAATAGCATTGTCTTAAAAAATAAATGTATATATGCTCATAGCTACTACTGACTTTTTTTACACTGGACTTCCAAAATTACAGAACCCCACTCTTGCTGATAACATCACAATTATGCATAGGGTTTCAACTTTTCTTTTTTTACGCTGGAATTGCATAAAAAATAAAATGCTACTAATAAAATGACTGCTACTTAGTCTCAAGGTGATCTCTGTGCAGTAGGAATTTCAATACCTGGATTTATAGTATAATTTCCAAATCAGGGGTTGCAATCATTTCAGATCCCCTCAAGTTCTGGACAACACCCAGAGAAGTTGGGCATATTTCAAGAAGAGCAATCCATTTAAGTAACAGGAAGGTAGATTCTGATAGGTTAGAAAATCATCCTACCTCTGCAAGTAATTCAGCAATGGAGCCAATTACCTCAAGAAGTGGTGAACTTCCCTTTGTTGTGTTCAAGCAGAGGTCAGTCTGAGACGCTTTGATTTGGATTCCTGTACTTAGCAGGGGTTGGGTTCAGTGGCCTGAATGGTCCCTTCCAACTGTAGGATTCTCTGATCACAAGTTACTCCAGGGCCAGCCCACATGTGCTTTTGTGGATTCCTCATTTTTTGGGATCTCTTCCCTAACAAGTAAAGACGTTGGTGTTTTCCTTTGCGTGATTTGCTCTTTTTCCTACCTCAGCTGCAGAATCCAACTTGGAGCTGGTCATCAGCTGTGTTTTGGCTGCCCTTGTCCTGGTGTCTGTGATTGCTGTGATCTTGGGGTATCTCAGTAAGTATCCTGTAAATTTTGTTTGTTAGTTTGTGGAGGAAGATGAGAAGGTCACTTTCTTCCCGGGTGTCTCCCTTTTGAGGGGCTCTCCTCAGCTTTCTTCTTCCATTCCCCAACCCTCTTCCCCGGGCACCAGTCTACAATAGACTGAGTCTGAGGTTAGAGCAGTTCTGTGTCTCTCCCTGTAATTGATGAGAGGCACTGTTGGACTCTCCTTTCAAACATTTTTGGTTAAAAAGCACCACAGAACTATTATAACAAAAATATGGCCTCTCCCAGCTGCTGCTGTCTTCCATGTATCCTAGAGGCAGCAGATCTACCTGGGGACAAATAAGGTGGTGTACTGGTATTTTGAACATCTTTCTGACTCTCCTATTGGCAATTTCTAGGAGAGGTTTTGACAAAGCGGGTGGGAAAATGTTTCCTGGGGGTTCTTCCTCCAGTAAAGAGTGAGATGGGATGATCTCTGGTCAACCCCTGTCAGCACTGAGACTCTGATATTTGTCCTTGCAGAGAAACGTAAAGGTGGCTACAGAGCAGCCTCAGGTGAGTGATTTGTTTTCTTGAATGTTTTCTGCAGTTCAGGGCAAGAAGAGATGGAAGATCAGTCCGGGGATATGTCTGTGTCGAAAGACAAAGGCAGCTCATGAAGTTGAAGCATTTTGCTTCTTTTTTTTCCTCCTGCCAACTAAGCTGGAGAAGGTGTGTCCTTTTTCTTACAGCAAGGCAGACATCTGGCCCAAGGAATACTCAAGAAGACAGTGCAGGGGGGAAGAGACATCACCCCTCTTGCATGAGAAGCTGTTCTGCCTTCCAGCTGTTTGGAAAGGAACATCTTTACAATGATGTGGTCTGGGTGCTCCATAAAAAGTAATGAATGAAAGAAAGCAATTTGAGAGGGAAACAGCTTTGTGGATGTCACCTAAGTCAGTTGTTGGTCTGCAACCATGAAGCTGCTCTAAGTGTAAATTGATTAGAGAAAAAACCTTTGGAATCATCTGAATCCTCACATCAGCTGAGCTGTATGGCTACAGAGCCACTGAAATATTGCAATGTTCATAGACACAAATGTTAAGAATGTTTTCCTATGAATATTTTCTGTTGTGCTTCAGACCGAAGCAGTTAGGTTGAAAGCTCTGTTTGTGTGTCAGAGAGCTGGTGCCAGAAAGAGTTATGTGCTGATCATCTCCCATTCAGCAAAGGCACTGACTTCCTGGTCTTCTTTTCCTCTTTCCCAGCAGATGGTGAAGGATCCAAAGGCTGAGTCCAGGTGAGTGTGAAGGAGCTCTACCTCAGGGGCCAGAAGAAAGTCTGCCTTTTAGCAAAGAAAAAAAAAGTTTTTAGCAAGACTGCTGGGGGGCATGAAAGGGGATCTCTAAAGCACATCCTATTTGAATCACAGCCCATTATTTGTATCTGGTTATGGTGAAACCAGGATTTATTGGGGCAAAAGTGGCATAAATTTTTGATTTATAAGGACACTGTATAGAAACATCTACTGTAAAGGGTTGGCATAAACTCTTATCTCATGCCTTTAATTTCTTTGGTTTACCATCTCTTACTACTTTTCTGGTCCTTATCCCAAAAGGGAATAGTGTCATGGGTATGTATGTATGATTCATAGCTCCAGATGAGAAAGGGAACCTTCTCCCTGTTGGATTTCCACCCCAATTCTTTCAGGGCAAGGAAGGTAACCACAGAGCCTGCATGGCAGAGCTTGGTCCCCTTTGGAGTAAAGAGCCCCTGAGCTCTGGCATGGGAAATATGGAAACCACCGGAAATGTCATGATCTCCAGTGGTTAGAGACTCTTCTGGTGGGGTAACCTGGCTTCCTCTGAGAGGTTCATGAAACTGTAGAAGCTTAATCTCTGAAGAGGGAGATGTCTCCTCATCAGAGGACCAGGACAGGGAGAGATTCACTGTTTGATTTTTTCTCCAGTGCAGGGAGCACCAAGGCCATTTAGCAGCCCCCTCACAGGTGAGTGGCCCTGGTGGGGGCTGTTTTGGGGAGGGAGAGAGGGGGATCATGGCCGTGAGCTCAAAGGACCGATTGATGGTGAAGATTCTTTGGGGAAACCCTCTTCTCTTTCCAACTCATCTCAAGCACTGAAGGGTGAGGAGTTTGGGGGAGAGACAGTGGGGCTCTGGGAGGGGTCTGCCTTTCCCCCTCCTCCCTGGGCTGCTTCTCCTTTCCCTCCCTATATTTGGAGGAAATGGCAGGTAACAGAAATAGAAGATGCCCTGGCTACTCTGTGCATCCTGTTGTCTTTCTTGTCTCCTTCCCAAGAACAGGAGGTGGTGCTGGGCATCTTTAAAGGGCCAGAGTGTGGCACCTTCCACTGTCTGATTGGTTGGGATACAATAGGAATGGTTGCTTAATTTCTTCTCTTCTCTCATTTTTAAGCAATAAGTGAAGAGTTCAGCTTAATGAAGATTTCTATACTGGTGTGTGTCCTGGCTACAAAGGATATGGCACAGAGTTAGAAGATTCTTCTTTGTGGACTTATTTTGAGAACCCAAATTTGGAATAAGTTGCTGCTTATAATAGATTCATTTAGACTCCAGATTCTTTGGTGCTTCATGGCAATGTTGGACATAATTGGAAATGTTCAGAACAAAGCTTTAAATTGTATTTAACAGCAGCAGGGCAGAATTGTGATTTTGCGGGAGGAGATGCTTGCTGTTTATAACGTGCTGCTGTTTTCAAATGTGGAAGGTCCTAGAAACATTGAAGAAGTTCTCAGCAATTTAGAAAGTATTGCTTCCTACATAAAGTTCTGTGTTTGAATGTTAATTTGGACTTAAACTGTGTTTTCTATCAATGAAAAATTTGAACTTAAGCCTAAATTTGAGACTCTACTGAAGGAAATGATTAGAGACAATTTTGTCTTTAGCATTAAAGAACGTATTTAAAAAGCAACTGTTAAAGATCCAGACCTTTCACTTGAAAAAGCTTTGGAGATCTATCATGGTTCAATGAAACCGCTCAGCTTCTAACTGTGATCGCTTTTTGCCTTTCTGATAAAGAGATATGAACCATTTGCATGAAGGAGAAAGTGTGTGAAGGGCTATCTCACAAGGAAGCAGAAGACTGGATGATGAAACTGAGCTCAACACAGCGACCATGTTTGTGCCTCAAAAACATCTTGTATGCGGATGATACAACTGTCATTGGTCTAATTCGAAATGGAAATGAGTCAGCATATAGACGGGAGGTTCAACAACCGGTTTTGTGGTGTGGTTGTAATAACTTGGAATTGAATACACTTAAAACTGTGGAGATGATTGTGGACTTTAGGAAGTATCCTTCTAATACTCCTCCCCTTACCATACTCAACAGCCCAGTATCAGTGGGAGAGTCCTTCA